CATAGTAATGCTGGCATGAAAATTTTTCTCAGTTGTTCTCAAATTGATCAGAGGAGGGGATTTAAGATATTTTATTTTCTTTTTTATTTTTTACTTTTGTCCAGAACTACATTAGTAATACTAATGCATTTTTGGGAAAGGGAATAAATACGTGCAAACCAAAAATATTTCTTGAATAGAGCTAATATAGCTTTTTTAAGTACATGAAACTGCAAACCTTGATACTTACAGAAGCACAAAGGTTGTTCCATATCTATTTGTTTATTTACTGGTATGGATCTGAAGTAATGTCACAAGCAGCTGGAGAACATGTATCATAGAATGGTTTGGGTTGGAAGGGACCTAGTTCCAAACCTCCTGCCAGACAGAGACACCTTCCTTCTGCTAGACTAGATTGCTCAAAGACCTGTCCAGCCTGGCCTCAAACATTTCTGGGCTTAGGGCATCTAAAACTTCTCTGGGCAACCTGTTCCAGTGTCCCACCACCCTCATAGTAAAGAATTTCTTTCTAATGTCTAATCTAAATCTTCCCTCTTTCAGTTTAAAACTATTCCCCTTGTCTTATCACTACATGCCATTGTAAAAAGTCCCTTCCAGCTTTTTTTGTAGGCCTCCTTTAGATACTGGAGATGTTGTAACAGTCTTCCAATAAGTCTTTTCTCTAGGCTGAACATGCCCAGCTGTCTCAGCCTGTCTTCATAGGGGAGGTACTTCAGCCCTCTGATCATCTTTGTGTCCCTCCTCTGGACTCATTCCAACAGGCCCATGTCCCTCTTACATTGGGGGCTCAGAGCTGAATGCAGTACCGCACATGGGGGCTCAAGAGAGGGAGAGTAGGGGAGGAGAATCACCTCCCACAACCTGCTGGTCACATTTTGTCTGATGCAGCCCAGCCTATGGTTGGCTTTCTGAGCTGCAAGCTCACACTGCTGGCTCATGTTGAGCTTCTCATCATTCAACACCCCCAAGTCCTTTTCCTCAGGTCTCCAACAGGAACTTCACAAGACTGGCATGACTTCTCAAACATGGTAGATAATAGCTTAGCAGCTACATTGGATGCATCTCGCCAGGGCCCACGGTCTTGTGCACCTTCAGATTCCTTAAATGATCTTGAATCTGATCTTCTCCTACAGTGAGCAGTTCATTTTCCCAGTTCGTGCCATTGCCTTCTGCAACTTGGCAGAAGTGGAATACATCTACTTGTATTTCAACTTGTGTTTCCTGAGGCCATAATTCACTGTCAGGGTGAGTGTAAAGGCATGACGGTCGTTTATAACCTCCAATATGTTACTGCCATTGTGTATAATAAATATAAGCCATTTTAAGGCCTCAGGGATACATGCAAGCTGCTAGAAGAGGCTGAATGAATTACAGAACTTTGGTTCCAGGTAGACTGTGTTCCATTTCAAAAAAGCAGCTAGAGGAGAAGGAAGCCCCTGTGGATTTATAAGGCCAGTATAATTCTATTCAGCTAGTGCCAAGATTTACGGCACTGATAGGTTGATGATTCTGAGTAATGGCGTTTGGAGATGATTTTCTCTAGTATTCAAAATACTAATTCTTCTAGCTTTCCAGAGTGTCTTCCTTTTAAAATGTGTTAATATTTTATTAATAATTTTAGCTTTTCATTTAAACAGTTAAAATAATTTGATAGGTTCTAATTGAATTTTTTGTATTATAGAATAGAGAGCTCCTGTGCTGGCTACTTATTTTTCAAAGCAAAAAATCCTGTGACAACAGTTTTACAGTAATTTTATTTCTAGTATACCACATGATATAATGTAAATGTAATAATAGTGGTTGATACATGTTTTTAATGTTAGAATGGTTGCAAATCTTCATTGTAATTGTCAGGCTTAAGTGCTCCCACCATAGGGAAAATAGATTACCCATAGTCTAGTATTTTTTGTAACATCACTTTATGAGTAAGCTAGTTTTCAGTAAATATCAATGAAATTGTCTCTTGACTTTTTCTGCAATTTATACTTTTCATTAGAAGTATAGGTATGTTTTATTGAGCTCCTTCTTAAATCAGTATGTGCCACCTTGTTTAGTAAATATTTATAAGTCTCATTGATATAAATCTTTAATTTTATATGCAGTGAGCTTTAATGTTTTGACTGTTCTTTCTAGGTTTAGGAACATAAGGGTGAATTTTTAATTATATATTTGTACCTTTGTTGAATTGCTGTTTCACTTTAACAGCATATCTGACTAAGAGCAAGGAACTGAATTTCTGAAATGTCAGTACAATGTGCATAGAAAAAGGCAATGTATACATTTCATAGAGTATGAACTATGCAATGAGTTCTTTTTTTTTTTAAAGCAGTCAGGAATTTCAACCATCAGATGTCTTAAAAAGCTCAACTTTCAGTTTTAGCAAACTTAAGCAAAAAACAAACAAAGAAAGACATCAGCTTGCTAGTGCACTGTTCTCTTTAGATTCTGGAAGCTTAGATGTACTGAACTTAAGTGCGGGCCAGGACACCAACATGTTAGGAACCTTCCTCTCAAGTCAGAGACAAAAAATTCTTGTTGCCATGAAGATTTTCCTCAATACAAATGAGCAATAAGAATATTAAAGACTAAAGGTTAATTATCAGCACTAGTGATGTTTAAGCTTTTCTGTATTTGTAAGAGCTATGAAGCATTTAAACAAGCGATCTAGAGATGTGGAATCATTGTTCATGCAATTTTTCAGAGGAGGTTAGACGTAAAAGTTCTGAATACAAGTGAGCTTTCTTTAGTAAGTTAGATCATTGAATTTTATTATATTCCTACCAGTTGTAAGTTTTTATGGTGTTTTTTGGTCACTATTTATGCAAAGCTCCATCCTATACCCTTAATTCCGTATGTGAATATCTAGCTGAAATCAGTGGAGTATATAAGCAGAAATACTTACAATGTTGAGACTGTAGTTTTACCCATCTCATTTATTTGCTGTGCATCATAGTATGCTTAAGAGAAACAGAAAGCTAGAATCAGATGTCCTGTTTTGCCAGACAAAACTTTGCAAGTAGTTGGTTTATTAAATGGAATTTCATATTCAGGGGTTTGGAAGAACTAAACTCCAGGGCAAAATATCCCAGCAATTTGATAGCTCTGGTCATTTAGTTTCAACAGTACAGTATGCTTCACAGTGATTATAATTTGCAACAGACTTGTACAAACTACATGAAGTTTGTTATGGCTTTTTTTCTAAACCAGAAGGAAGAAACTTTGACCGTTTTTGTTTGTTTGGAAATTAATGAGTTTGATAGCTTCTGTCAAGCTGAAGCAGAGAAACTTTTCTAATGTGAGGTTGGTTTGCAGCAACAATCTGAAAACAGAAGACTGAATCTGTTCTTGCTCCTGAAACATCCTACCATCCTTGTTAAATAGCATGTAGTGGCCAAAAGCGGTATGTGTCATGGCTATAAGTTCTGCCCTTGTGAAAAGGATGGAAGTTTTTGCCTGGAAAAAGGATGTATATTTTACTGTTTTAGTACAGATGGAGGTTCTATAACTGAAATATATAATTTCTGTTTACCTGTCAAATTCAAAAAGTTCTGGCAGGTTTTTCTAAAATCTTCTGAGATATTTCAAGAGGCCAGAAAATAATTTCTCCTGTCAATTTAGCTGATTTTATTTTGATGTAAATTTCTGTGGCAATTTGCAAAGTAAAAATATTAATATTTCAAAAAGCTATCAGCATATAAACCCCAAAGTACTGAAAGCAATAGTTAGGCAACTGGAATAAAAATAGATTCTATTAAACTTTATGCAGTAAGTGAAATTTTAGTTTTCTTGATAAAACTGTTTTGGGTGTTCCCTGGATTGCCATCCTGCATAATTAGTTTATATATTTGGGAGCAGTGATAAAAATAACATGACCACTTACAATTAAATGTAATTAGGAAAAATTGCTAAAAACCAGCAGAGCTGTTGAAAAACATGAGACAAACATTTTTGTAATGGAACACATATAATAATGTGTTATAGAGTTACAGAATCATACTTTCTTCATTGTTCTTCTTCCATGCCATGTAAAAGAGAGGGCTTACAACCAGACTGTAATTTGGGATGTGCATTCTCCAAAACCCCACAATACCTAAGAAAGCTTGTGTTTCTTTCTTATTAGTTGGTGGAGATGTTGTTATCTTGTTGATGTCTTATGTGAGTGTTGCATTAAAATAAATTACTTGGTCAACTATTTCTTTCTGAGCTTACTGGAATCAGGCTATGAAGTACTGGGCCTAATGTGCATGACCTACAACAGGCTAGGTGGTCACTGTATTATTCATGGCACAGTTTTACATTCAGAACAACTATGACGGTGAGTAAGGTAAAGGCAGTTCAGAATTACCACAATTTATGCAAAAAAGAACTCCTGCTTTCTTCCATAGAAAGATGTCTTTTACTAGAAAAGCTGCAGAAGATGGCTGAATAAATCACTCATATAAATTCATCCCTTATATTGCCTGTGTTCATTCAGTTCAATGCACTATGCACTCAAATCAGTGCAAGCTGTGTGGTTTAGATCCTGTGCACTGCATTGAAAAAAAACACCTCGACATCTGTTTATTGTCTTTAGTTATTCATCAGTTACTGAACACTATGGACATTTTGAAACGACCCAGTATCTCATCATTTCATCCATTGTTTGGTTTGTTTGTTTGTTTGTTTGTTTTTGAAAAATACATTGAAATTCAGGTTTGCTTTAGAAGCTCAAATGAGTTTACTTTGAATGAAGTAACAAAATGCTTATTGAAAAAGAGCCAATTGGATTTCAGACTTGTTACTGTAATCTATAATTCCTCTTTCCCCTTCTCTTCCTGATCCTTTTGTCCTCCTCTACAAGCATATCTCCTCCTTCTAGTCCCCCATTGTTCCCTTTCTCCCATCCCTCCGGAGTAGTACTGGTGCTGTGTACAGTATTTTGTTTGCAGTAGTATAAACATTTTCAGCCTGTGACCTCATTGCTGAAATAACTCACCTCTTTCATATCAACTCTTACCTAGGAGCCGTACAGCAGACTCATTGATGTAGGTTTTTTCTGCATGGCAGCCCAGGCCAAGCTGTGGTTTCATTGCATGATGCAACTTCACCTTTTTTGGTTGTCAATGGGATTAATGATAATCTATCCTTTATTGCCTGTGCATGCCAATGTGCTTACCATAATGGTGTACACACTGAATGCAGTCTAGAGCATTAAGTGCATGAACTGGAATTTTAAAAAGCCATAAAATTAGAAAGTTTGAGCAAATGTAAATTATGTTTAACATTTTATAGAATGAATAGGACATATGTATGAGGCCTATATGTTTAAAATTTACAGAGTATTACAGTAATTTATTGACCAGATAGACAATTGCAGTGTGGTGAAGATGTGGGAAAGAGTGTGCTAATTATTCTGTTGTGACAATGGCTGAACAATGCCACTAGTGTTCATAAAGATAAGCCTTTCCTTTCTGCCAACTTTGGCAGCAGGTGGTATTGAAAAGATTACACATAACCATTTATTAAACGTCAAAATTAGTGAAGAATTTTGAAGTGCGACAGCTTTTCTATGATATTAAATTATTAAATAGTCTGCAAAATAGTTTAAAATGCATTGATTTGCAAAACAAAATGAAATTTCATATGAAGAATTCTAATGCTGCTCTAGATTTCTTTTATAAATGACACTGTGACCATCCTAAGCAACCTGTTATTTACATGTTCTTAAATGTATTCAAATAAATCTTTCATTGCCACATTAGAAGACATGATTAAATGCTAATCCTATAGTTTCCTGATGAAAGAGCACTTTGGAAAGTGAGTTGAGACACTGTATCCAAACACAATTTTGTAGCGCTGTTGATCAGTACGAATGTTGAGTGTATGTGTTCAGATGTTACATTTCATGCTTTTGGGGGGTTAAAAATTTATTTGCAGATTGCAAATTAATACAGATTATATATATACATATATGCAAAGCCAAGTGATGCTCTTAGTGTGTATTTTTAAGCAGGTAACTGAAAATGTGGGCTATATTCAAAACAATAAAGCAAGTAATTAGCTATTAGCACAGCTAATACTGTTATTCCTATATTCCACATAATGACAGTTACTATTTTTTTTTCTTATAAAGTAAAAGTCTTTTAAGGAGTGTAAAACTGATCAGATGTCTACCTATATGACAACATGAGGTCATTCCTCCTGAAATCAGTGTAAAATGGATTACTTCACCAGTCCTTTTGACTTTCCAGTTGCTCAGTGTGTAAGGTAACTTACACATCCATTTTTACATGCACAGTGTCCAGTATAAAAAGATGTTTGAAGATACAATGCAAGCCATTTTGAGATGGTGTTAGAAAAAAAGGCCACGATATACTAATTTTTAACATCATTATAATCCTTTCCTTACACTGACGTAAAGTAGTTTGATATCAGGCTTGGATAATTTGAGCAGTTGTTGCAGGTGTTGGCAATACCTTATTCCATTTGTTAATGGAGATGAAGTGACTGCTCAAAAAGAAAAGCACAGTGTCAGTAATCTGCTAAAAGGGATTTGTCTTTCCCATTTAGAAAAGCCACTGTGATTGAGACTGTCACTCAGGCTCCAGGCTAGTTTTCTTGTCTGAAAAGTTGAACTAGTTGAAGTATTTCTTTAATTTCTTCTTTGTCCATTTAAACTGTTTCTATTCTTCTGCAAAGTAAATATGGTTATACAGTCAATCTTTCATAGTATCAGCATTTTGCCTTGAGAATGTGGTAATTTGTCGTTAAGACAGTCCTGGTAAATAATCAGGCCCCACAGCTGGAGCAGCTGTGACATGAAAATTTCTAAGTAGGGAAATTACTAGATTGCAGTTCTATGCATGTGGAAAGTAAGCTGCATCAGCAGAGTGTATGGGTAGAGAAATGTGTACATGTGCTTTTTTACTTTAAAAAGGTGGGTGCAATAAGGACATTCCAGGAGTCCCAGGAAAGAAAAAGGGAAACTGAGAGAAAAGACTGTCATGTTTATAGATACTGGGAGTGAGTGTTACCTGGATCATGCTTGTAGTTGGTTTAACATGGAATTCAAACACATATACTGTGATGCTCAGGATATAGTCAGACATCTCAGATGGTTACTCTTGGTAGTTGCAAGAGGTTTTTTACTTCAACTCCCTTTTCCTATTATTCCTACTAAAGTGGAGCAAGTTTAAAAATAAGGCTTGTGATAATTTACAGGGGAGCTAGATGCATAATAGTTTGGATTGGGTGTACTTGAGTTGCACGACCTATGCACCCTAAATGCATCTTGCATATTTAATGACTAAAGTGCTTGAAAGGACCCTTAAGCTGATGGGATACATGGTGCTATAATGTCCTCATGAGGAATAAAATAGAATCTGAAATAATAATAATTTGTTCAGGACTAATATTTTTCCTAGTTTTATGCAGATTGTTTGAAGGAATGAATGTACATGGTTCATGTTTACAGTTATGCTTTCATTGGAAATATGAAACAATATAGATTAGGACTGCTTTAGAATTACCATCAACACTGTATGGATAGCTTTTAATGGTTAACAACAGATTTGGATGCATGCACTAAAAAAGCTGATTGATAAAATACATCAAAAAATTGATGTAATGTTGAGTTTCTACCCCTTTGCAGTACTTCTGGCTTTTATTGCTCAGTTATTTACTGACATTAAAGTCAAATAATAAACTAGTTTATGACTACTCAGTAAAAACTAGGTAGTAGCCAGGTATTTTCATTAAAGTATTGCAGGAGGGAATTCCAGAAAAAACAGTCAGCTGAATTAAATGGAAATATTTTAACACTCCAATTTATCTCATTTTCATGACATTTTGAGTTAGGATAGTTGAATTTAGACTAGATTTCATAAGACAAGATTAGGTTTTTAATTACAGCATGTAAGAAAGCAAGATACATATGGAAAAAATACTCAAATTCACCTGGAGGTATTTGTTACGCACATCAAGCAGAATATTAGACCTCAACTTTAGGATGATATGCAAAAGCAAAATTATTAATAATCTTAATTTAGAGTCAAACAGGATTCATGTTTTAAGACTGTTTTTTTCAGAGTGCAGTCATATGAGGGAAAATTTTAAAAGTATCAACAGAAGGATAATAAGACACTGAGATGGACTAGCTGGAGTTGGCAACCAATCATAATGGTGGGCTGTTGAAAACTGAGCAAAGAGCATAGCAAATGTGAAAAAAGCACCTTTAGGTGATTTTAAAAGGGAGTAGCTGCAAAATAGAATCACATAAAATAGAGCAAGAAGGAATCTCAGGAAGCCACTCTTCGTTCTTCTGCAAGGTAAGAGTGGCCATACATAAATTTATTCAGACACCTAGCATCAGTGGTTTGTGGGTCCTTTCCTACAGAAGGAGGATATTTCAGAAGTGCCATGTGTGTCAATCATTTTGTTGACATATACAAATGCAAAGACTATAAGCGGTCCATATCTCCCATACTTAAAAGCATTTACAATGGTTTTAAAAATCTGAGATTTGACATTCTCCATAAAGAACGTATTCCAGTGTTTAACTATATTGTAATTTAGGAAGTTTTATTTTTCTGGTATACTCCTCACTAACTTGATCCATTTCATTTTTTCAATTCAGTGTCAACATGGGAAATATATTAAGTATTCTTTTTCAGAATCATATGACATGTTTGCATTTTCATGTCACCAATTATTTTCTATTATCTAGAGTAAACAGAATAATTTATTACTCCTTGATACAATTTGATAAATAATATTCAAGAGCAATTATATTAAATAATGACTAAATAAATAAGAAAATAAAAAAGTAAATAAGAACTAATAAAAAGGTGTCATTATGAAGTGATAACATGCAAGATTGTCAACTTTAGTAAACAGGTATGCAGTTGAACAGAATCTTTCTGTAATGAAGTCAGCATACTAGATACAACTGAGGTGGCTTATTAAATACTGTTAAAAAACATAATATATTGGTTGAAACTGCATACTGGTGTTTCTTTCTTTAATATGATAATAGTTGCACACAAACCCCTTTGATTAAAAATAAGATCTCTGGCATTATTGGTCTTTTGTTCTCTTAGAATTGACTTGTCATCATGGCGATTGTTTTTCAAGTTAATGTGATACTCTTTAAGGTTGCCGGTGTTCTCAGTTTATGGTAAGCAATTAGAAATCTTATGCAAAATAAAGTAATATTCTCTTCCTACTTACCTATGTGGTTCTCATTAAACCTTTTCAAATGCAGTTATCAAAGTAGGATGATGAACTTAATGGTGTATTTTGAAAGAAAGTGCATCCTCTGTCTTTTATATACTACTGAAAGATCTTAGACTTATGGAGATGTGCTCCGGGCCATTAACTTATGCCTGTTGTAACATTAAATTCCTGGTTGTTTAGCAGTTCTGCAGGAATCTTCCTTTAGCCTTTGTTTGTGATATCAGTAATTAGAGAAGATATGCTGCAGGCAATAGCGAACATACATACACCCTGATGAAATTAAGAAATATGCTATTTTCAATATAAGCAATTTTAATGTGTGTATTTTCTGCATATTCCAGCAATTCAATATAAAAATGTAAGTAAAAGTTTCTTGTTACCATACTTGTGTACAATTTTGTGTTTGGGCTGAACTATGATGTACTTAAAATTCATGAAAAACTTGAAAATGAAAAGAAACCTGACAACATTATACTGATTTTTACCAAGTTGTATTAGATAAAATTAGTTATGATAAGTACTAATGATGTTATCTGACTGTCACTTGATATGTTGTCAGTTGAAAATAGCTCTGTAAAAGTCTGTAGAGTTATGCCAGGCAAAATCTTATGCATCTGAGCTGGGCATCAGGAAAGTATGCCTTTCTTCTGCAGTTGTACCAACTTAATTTGGCTCTTAATTTCATACATGGATATCGCAGAAACTAAAATTAAGAGTCTTTCTCACTGGACATTCTCTATCTCACTTTCTAAACTGAATGAATTTTGCACTAAAAAGTATCAAATCACATCACTTCAATGTATCTTTAAAT